CCCTACAGATCAAATCTCAATGCAACTGAGTCCTGTGCAAGTCCTTAGATGGTAACAGCAGGGCTGTCTGGAGCACATCCATTCTCATGGTTTGGGCAGTGTTTTTCCCCTTGGCAACTTGCTAATTTACAGTTTTCAGGGAGAGACATGCAGGGATAATGAGCTTAAGTGAGAAAGGAAATGGAAAGAGTGCGCCAATTTTACGGGCTGTCTTCTGTGTGCATTTTCCACCCAGAATCTGAAGCACAAGCAATTCATCTCTACAGTTTGTGACACAGCTTCTAGACAACACTCATGTATGTGTGCCTGAGATGGGTTTGCTGAGGATGGGCCTGCAGCAACAGAGATGGGGTGGCCTCGTGAACAGCACACAAGGAGCACAGGGATGGGGAAACTTCGTCTTTCTGAAAGGAGCAATGGCAAACTTGGATGGAACACAGAGATTTTTAGCTCCATGGTGGGATCTGCATGCAGTTTATTAGTGGCTTCTTTGTTTGCAGCAGTCACCAGTGATACTTTCTTGAGTCTGTGTGGGTTACTGGCCTATGCTATTATTTTCCACTGTCTTTGCTCACTCACATTTTAAGTTTTTACTCCCTTTTATGTCTTGAGAACATAATCCCACGCAAATGTCTCTGCCTTGGGAAAAAAACCCAAATACTCAAACCTCTATTGTCTTTGGAGGTGCCTTTTGGGGCTTTTTATCTTGTGATTTCCCAGTAGTCTGGGGAAAAAATGCCTCCAATCTATGAACATTTTATAGAGGCAACTTGTGGCAATTGGAGTTAATCCAAGACATCTCACCATCTTTCCTGAGCACCTTGTTGAGCCGCAGGGAAAGGCAGGAACGTTTTTGTTCCATTTCTTCCATTGTATGTTCAGACAGGCACAGCACAACCCAAAGGGAGACATTTCACCCCTTCCACTGATTTGGTTCTGGCTTGATGGAGTTTTTAACTCTATTGTGAGCCTTCAAAACACTCTGCTTCTGAACATGATCATCTGGCTCTTGTTCTTCCCTTCTCTGACCTCCTTATCTACTTCTTTCCAAGGTTCTGGAGATTTTCCCTTTCACAGATTCTGGAGGGAAGTTGGGGACCTAGAGCAGGTTCCATTGCTTACTCTTGAGCTTTCAAATTCCTGCTCAATGTCAGGGCTCCCTGATGTGGACTTCTTGGCATGCAGATTACAGAACTGACTGAAAAGTCAAAATGTCACATATGAATCTGAAAAGTTCCTTTTGGATTAGCTGTAACTTTGTGTTTTGTGACTGTTCCGAAATTCTTAATAAAAGAATTCTCTTCATCAGGGACTGTAGCAATAAGACAAGGAATAATGGGTTTAAATTTACATAGGGGAAGATCAGATTAGATATAAGACATTGGCACAGGGTGTCCAGAGAAGCTGTGAATGCCCCATCCCTGGCAGTGTTCAAGGCCAGGTTGGACACAGGGGCTTGGAGCAAGCTGCCCTAGTGGAAGGTGTCCCTGGCTGTGGCAGGGGTTGGAACTGGATGAGCTTTAAGATCCCTTCTAACCTAAACCATTCTATGAAAAGCTTTTCTGATTACTTCTAAAATTTGAAACCAAACCTTCTGTTTGAAGACTATCTTCTATTTGATCCGAAAGAGGATTTTACGGATGAGATACATCAAACCTGATCCTTAGTCTCCTTGTCTCTCTAGACAATTTTTTACCTTTAAAGAATTTTTTTGTTTGAACAAATTTTTCCTGTTGAAGGGGTTCAGTGGATCAGGTAGCAAACACTGGTTCTTCCAAATTAAAAAGTCAGAAGAAGACAAAATGGGGCAGTGTGACTTACTTTTCTTGTAAGTCACACAGCACATTTATTGCAGCAAAGGAGGGGATACTATCACCATCCAAGACTGCTCTGGTGTTGTAATAACTGCAGTCAGTATGCTAAGATGTTCAAATTATTCCGAAATGTAATTAGATCTGACTTCTTAATCCAGTCTATGACTTCCTTTCTGTGGCCCAAATCAGATTCTTTCAGAGACTTACTTGTTTATAAAAGTGGTTTTATTATAATGGAGTAACTATGCTTTCTTGTGTAGTTTCAGTTGGCCATATCATTCCTTTAGGGAAATAACACAGAATTATGTATGTAATTACCAGCTCTGATGTGCATCAGCCTATATGTATGCAATTCTCCCCTGAGACTCTAGTACAAGGTCTTTCTTCCACACACTTATAATGACTTTTCAGTGTTTTCTTCATTTGGGGTTCAGTGACAAATTGATAGCATGTATACATGGTGCTTGTTCACCTTACATCCAACCACCTGCAGGACATCAAAGTCCTCTTTGGAGAGCTTCCATCTGATTGCTATGTCCTCAAGGTGCAAGGATGCCAATATAATGAGCAAGGATGCATCGCATACTTCTTTTCTGGTTTTACTGCTGACTTTACTATTTTCTGCCCTCTCTAGTAGGTTCGAGTGGTGGCCAGATCCTGTTTTAATTAACCCAAAATGATCATCTATAACCAGTATATTTTTTACTGAATGGTGAAAGTGCACAGCAATCCAGATGAGTCTTAAGTATCTAGAAGGTACTCCAGAAGAAAGGTGGAGCTAAATGGAGAGTTCTATAAGCACATGAGAAGATGTCCAGTTCATAGAGTGCTTCAGGAATGGAGTACAAGGAAGAAGAGGTGCATAATCAGGATTTTAATCTCCTGGACTAAACAAATGGATACAAAACTCATTATCAGTTATGACACTGTGCAGTGTTCATCCAAACTACAATTCTTCTTCTAAAAACTACAACTATTTGAATAAAAACTTCCATGATTCCATGGAAGATCACTCACACTTGTCTGTGTTTCCTCCAGCTTGAGGAGTAGCCCTAGAAGCTTTGGTCAGCTCTGGCACAGGCTGTGCCCCATGGCAGCACCAGACCAGGTGCCCTGCAGCCACCAAGGAGTCAGTGTGAGCACCCTCACCTTTGGTCCCTTGCCCATGCCCAGCCCTGCCTGCAGCTGCAGAGAGCCTGAAAGAGCTGCTCTGCCAGGGCAGGGAGCCCACATGAGGAGAGTTGGGGTGCCCAAACACCCAGCGCCAGCTGCCATGCCCACTCCAGCTCTGGGAACCCAGAGCAACTGGAAACCACTTGTCTGCCAAAGCCACGTGGGATCGCAGTAAATACAAAGAAAGACTGGGTCAGAAAAACTTCAAGAAATGTATTTACAAAACAACAAAAATAAACAAAATAAACACATCAAAAAAGAACCATTCTCCTTGGAAGTACAACTCTTCTACCCAAACCTACAACTATTCTACCTAAAAGTACAACAATTCTTCTTAAAACTACAACTCTTCTTCTTAAACCTACACATATTCTACCTACAACTGCAACTCTTCTTAAACCTACACCTACAACTCTTATGGAAAAAACAACTACCTTCTCAAACAACAACAATCTTCTGTGCAAAACAACTCTTCTAAAGAAAACTCCTTCAAACACTGCCACACTTCTGTCTCCACCAGCCCTGGAAAGAAGCAGCACAAGGTCATTTCAGTGAGGCTACTGACGGTCATTGTGTTTGCCACACGCTGGGAAGAGCAGGACTCTGCCGTGGGCTCAGCTCTGGCTGGGGCTGGGAGCTGGGCTCTGTGTGATCAGGCTTGGCTCGCATGTCCCCAAGGCAGCGCAGGGCAGCGCAGTGGTGATGCTTGTGCTGCCAGGATGAGGCCACTGGGCACCGTGTCCCTGCAGCGGGGCCGTCACACACAGCCCCAGCTCTAGCATGGCAGCACCCGACCCACCCTGACTGCCAGCAGTGGATGGGGGGCATGTGCTGCCTTACCACTCATCAGTTGGTATCCATGGCCTCATCCTCCACCACCTCCACATCCACCTCCATCGCATCCTCCTCCTCCACCTTTGCGTCCACCTCCGTGGGTTGCACCTGCAGCCCCAGTTAGGTCCTGCTGGCAGCCTCTTCCTCCAGCTCCCGCATGTGTTGGAATAGCCTAAGGCAAAAGGCAAGCAGAAGAGTGCATTGGTGATGCCCAGAGCAGCGCAGCTGTGGGACAGGGCTCTGGGTACCCCGGTCCCCTCTCACTGCCCGGGCAGAGCCGGGGCCACTGGGGCCCTGGGCACGTCCCCAGCAGGAGCTGGTGGGAAGCCGGGGGCTCCTTGTCCAGCAGCACATACCAGCTCTGACAGGCTGGCGTGTGCAGCTGGAGCATCCTTTGCCTGCTGCGCTTCAGCACCTTGCGGGGCGGTAACGGCCTGAGGACCTGCCAGAGCACAGAGGGCAGGGGTGAGCGGCTGTGCTCCCTGCCTGCAGGACCAGGGCACAGACCCGGCCCCGTGCCTGCCTCTGCACCCACAGGCTCCTTACTCTGTGAAGGCAGCCCTTTGCATCCTCGCCTCCGCAAGGGCTGAGCGTGGCCACCAGCAGGACAGGGGTGGATTTCTTCTGGGGCTGCATTTGGTGGGACAAAACCAGGTCCAAGGGGCAGGGCACAAGGCAACAGGGATGGGAACAAGCGGAAAGGGCTGGGACGTAGGGCAGAAGGGCAGAACAGGAGCAGGGCAGAGGGACTGGTGGACAGAGGTGGGAACAGGGGAAAAGTGTGGGTTCAGGGGTGGAGGTCTGTGTTGTTGTCTGGGGAGGGGCAGTTGCTCGCACACCTCATGCACGCAGCGGCTCCTCGTGCACCCCGCTGCCAGTTCCCTCTGGGAAGTGCCCCCTTCCTCCCCACATGACAGCACTGGTGGTGACCCTGACCCAGCCGCAGCCTCCCAACCTCTGGTATCCCCAAGCACCCCTGTCCCCAAACCCTCTTCCACCCTGAGGGATTGTAATGAAGGGTCAGGGCCAAGAGACATGAGGGAGGTAAAAGGCTTGGTTTGGGCAGCAGGATCCAACTGCAGGCCAGGTACAGGCTGCTGCTGCAGTGACCTGGGCCTGGGCACACTGTGATTCCGTGATTCCATGAATGACTCCCCGTACGTGTCCGTGTTTCCCCCAGCTTGAGGAGCAGTCCCAGAAGCCTTGGTCAGTGCTGGCACAGGGCCGTGCCCGATGGCAGCACCGGGCCAGGGGCCCTGCAGCTGCCGAGGGGCGGTGTGAGCTGCTGGGGCTGTAAATCACTGTTCTGAGTTTTCATTTCCTCATAGACACGTGCTGCCCCGCTCAGAAACGAAACCTAGAAAGAGACACTCCAGTGCTGCCTGAGGCTCACGGAGACATCATGACAGCTCATACAGTGCAAGGGCTGGGAGCTTGCTGGGCTGGGTAGCACAAAATGAACACAGCTATGGGGAGGGAACACATGGAGATGGCTGAGCTCCCACTCAGCTCTGAAGGAAAGGGTAAATGTAGGGAAGACGTTTGCAAGTGCAGAGGGGTCTAGGAAGGGTGGGGAGGTGATGCTGGAAGGGAAAGGCTTCCCCTCCACCTGCCTTTGCAGAAAGCAGTGCTGGAGGGGATGAGTCTGTTTTCACTTTGGAGCTGTTATGGGTGTGGAGTGGCTTTTACACATCCTGGAGCATCCCATCTGTGCTTATGTCTTCAGGCTACTGCCTTGGGCAACAGCCTGCTCTGCCTGTGTTAGAGCAGAGCTGACACATCATCTCCCATTCTTCATACCAGGAGATGTAGCTTCTTTCTCTGCTTTGTTCCAAGGCAATATTGTTTGGTTTTAGCCCTGATAAAATTTGCATTACAATGCTCCTTTCCCATAATCAACTCCTGTGCATTGTCTTCCTCACATGGTCACAGCTAAGTGAGGAGACCATATGTGAGCCAGAGGCAAGCTGGGGAGGAGTTCAGCAAGCCCAGGCTGCCCTTACATGAGGCTGCCTCATTTCCATGATTGGATCACTGGGGGAAATGAAGAAAAGGAAAGCAGAGACTTCCAGCTTCAAACTTCTACCTAAGGACAGAGGGAGAAGACAGTCAGGTTTGTCTGGATAACTCACTGCCCATTGTGAAGATTTGGATGGAGCTGTTTCCTGATGGGGTGGTGAAGAGCAAAGTCTTTCTCACTAAACCCCCAAAGAAAGAAACAGCAGTGTTTCTCATCATGGATAATAATTTCTTTTGTAAGACAAAGACAACGTCTGTATTGTATCTTTGTGCAGTGCTCCAACAACAAAACACAAAACCAAATGAGCACTGCACCAACACACAGAAACTTTGCAACTTCAGACAGCCTAGGCAGGAGTCTTGTGTCCCATTCACTACCATAATGTTTTTGTTTTCTTGTTCATGGTGCTGCTACTTACCCACAGAGCTGAGATAACTTGTTTACAGAAGAAATAGATTTGCTCATGAGAAGCAAGGGGACAAGTCTAGAACACATCAGTGATAAACAAGTGGAAATGCCCATCTCATCCCAAACACATGGCAAAAGCTGGCGATATTTGATGCCCTTTAAGAATCAGACAAAGGTCCATAGTCATTGCTGTGCACCAACTTTGAGCTGGTTTCAATTTCCCATGCACCCATGTTCATTCAGAAATGAATGAAGGCTAAAATATTTGTCCAAATGATTTCAAGGGTTCTTTAGCAGATTAAACACATCTCGTGTTCAAAAATAAGCATGTGAATTGTAGAGCAGCAAGGCAGGCAAAGGTATGGTATTCAGTGATGCTTCGTAAATCTTGCCAATTTGTACAGTTAGCTTAAAGTGAAAGCTGTAATTAAAAGCAAAGGAACAGCTAGTCCTGTTACAGACTAAATGGTTAGATTAAATATTACGCTCTATCTGATTATTAATGTGCAGGATAACTGTTTAGTAACTCAATATTTCTTCATCAGGTTTTATTAATAGCACCACGGCAAATATTTCCCGTAATGCAGGATCCTTGCCCTAAAGTCAGAGGTGAAAATTGCACTTTTCCTCCGGTGCTTTCATTCTGCCCTGTAATTTCCACAGATTTTCTGCATGTTTTGCTCTCAGGTTTAGTCAGTGTGACACCAGGCCATGGCACGGGTGGGTTTTTTGGTGGGGGAAAAGGCCGTCCCATTCCCGTAACTGCCGAGCCGCAAACCAGACTGATTTAATTTTCCCCTTACGTCAATGGAAGGTCCCGCTCCCTGTGATGCAGGATCCTTGATTTCAAGAAGTAACTCCAAGGTGACTGAGCCCATCCCAGCCTGCCCCAGCCACCCACCACCATAATGAGCTGCTAACACAAAGGTGTGAAACCCTGACTGTGGAGCACTGCAAAAGCACCAAGCAATGAGGAAGAGCGGGAAGGGGAGAGGGCTGTTTGCCTCCACACAGTACATGAGTGGCTGGTTGTGTTAGCTTAGTTTCAGTAACCTCAGAGTCAGCATTTCAGATGTCAGTAGTTTCCACTGACAGCAACTGAGCCCAGGCCAAGCCAGTGAGGGACACAAATAAATAGGGGTAGAAGTTAATGCTCAGTTGATGGAAAAGTCACATTAAAAAGGAAAGTGAGCTAGGTGAATGATTGCTCCACCCAGCCACCTTCCTCACATAGAGTGCTAATGAGTCTTGCCCAAGAAAAGGCAAACAACTGACTTGGCTTTGGCTGTTGCAGTAGCTGACAAGACTTTAAAACCACACTAACCCACCAGGATGCCTGGGGGGCATCCAGCTGTGTCTGCTGGGAGAGCGCACAGTAGCAGTGGGAGAGCACCTTGCTCCTGCATCATCACAAATAACTTCTTCAGCCCTATCCCAAGTGAGGCAGGTATGGGTAGAATTCCAGATCAAAAAGTGCCAGAGTATGGGCAGCTCCAGTGGTAGGGAGCAGACATGGAAGAGCAAAGGGGAAAGTGGCAGTCTGGCAGTTTGAGCTCAGGTGCTTAACCTTTGGCAAAACGCCTTGTTGCTTGGGCAAGTCCTGTGTTTGAGTCTGATTTCTTACACTTTCTGGTCATCAGCATCCTTCTGGACACTGCTCTGATCAGGAAGCTCAAGGCATTTTGCCAGGAAAGATCTGCCTTCCTGATGATGAGCTTTGACAAACTGACTCAGCTTGATGGCTGTGGTCAAAATGTTAGAGGAAGGCTCATGCCTCCCTCCTTCCCCTTCTTTCTTCCATGCAAAAGAGCCTTGCACAGCACTAGAGTGATTGCATTTGACCAGTAAAACGATTTTAAATTAATGAATCCTTAAGCTACAAGACTGAAAATTAATTGATTCTTGAGTTAAGGAGGAAATGCTGTGGGAAGGGCTCCCCACTCAGACCCCTGTTACATGGACCACCATGGGCCATGTTGAGATGATCATCAGGGCCCCAGTAGGAGGACTTCTGCTTGGGGCTGATCCTCTCCATTTCATTATTTGTTATTAAAATCTGGATTCATTTTAAATGACTGCTCATAAAGAACCCAACAGAAGGTCTGATATACTAGGAGGGAGATGCCATCAGCACAGTGCTTGAACAGACACTTTGAATGTATGATATGTTATCATCTTGGTTCCAGGAGGAAGCACATCTTTTAGAGTCTCAGGTATCTATTATACCAGATGTTGGGCAGTTAGGAGTTATGGATGTTCAATGAAAGCATGCCCAGCCACCATCACAAACCTGTGAAGTACCATGATCTGAAGGAGGGAGAGAGAAAGTGAAGTAGTAGTGTTATGGGGAAGGGGAAACAGAAACATGAAAACAGTGAATATCCAAGGGTTTCTATAGTGAAGGATCCTGAATAGAAGTTTCTGCACCATCCCTGCCTTGCCTACAGCCTTCTCTCCTAGCTAAAGGCCCAGCCATCTCCCCAACAGCCACAGGGGACAGATCTCCCTCTATACAGTTTCACATAGGTAGTATTTCCTCAGTATCAAACTTCAACAGAAATCTCCCAAATCATTTCAGAGCAGCAATGCAGAAAAGGCCTGGACAATGCACTTTGCTCTCCTCAGTCTCCAGCAGATGCAACAGATGACTCACTTGCAAAGGGGCCATCTGGAGACTGTAGGATGTTCAAGACCTCTCTCTTCCTTGCTCCAAAAGAGGGGCCAGAAGCAAGCTCTCTGCTCCTGTAAGGCTTAAATCCACTATATTCACATATGAAATAAAACTAAAGGTGAAGAAAATTACAAATATTCTAATCTGTTCCCTGTTATGCCCTGCTTCACACTCATAAAACCCAACATACTGTGAGAACATGGAAGTCTCTTCTTTATACTTTCTGAACTATATTGCTTAAGCACTTTTTGTGAGGCCTTTCCCAATTCCCTTTGTGATAGTGACAGCCTTTTGGCTAGCTGTGATCTTTCCTTTTATATAGCTCTTTTCTCTCAAATAACTTATTTTTCTTTCTGTCCCATTGCATGTTCTCAAACTATTTATTTCCCTCTTCTCTTTCCCCCTGTCTTCTGCAGAGATTTCTTTTTCCTTCTTTACGTCTTCTAATCCCACAGGGAGAGGAGCTGCAATCCTTCTTCCAATGCATCAGTCTGTTCTTTTCCTGAGTCCTGATCAAGTGAAACCTCTGAAAAACCAGTGTAGCAGTACAGATACCCAGTGATGAGTTTTACTAACAATGTCATGGACCTGTAAGAAGAAAACAGCCCAACCTGAGTGTCCTAGAACAAGCCTACAAGATGTGCAGTGGTTGGATCCCCCCCTGCCTACCCCTTTTTTTATTTTTTTAAGTAAAAAGCAGCTCTTTACCGGGTTTTCCTTGTTATCAGTTGATGAGATTTATCCAGAACCCACCTCTTGCCCCCAGCCCTGTGGGGATCCAGGTTGCTTGCAATGTCAAGCAAGCCTAATAAATAATTTAGATGGAGGCAGTGCATTTAGTCAAACAAATAACTTCATTCAAAGGGCAGAATGGATTTTGTGAGAAGTCTTTTTTCATTATGTCAAAATGAAGAAAAAATTGTGCAGCCCTTTCATTCTGTCACCACAAAGGCATTTGTTCGAGCTTCTGGCTTTGTCTGACGTAAAAAATGTAGTTGTCAAGCCCACACAGTGAATTGTTCTTCCCCACCCTGTTAGCATGAGCATACAACCCCTCACTTCTGCACAGCAGTGAAGGGCCATGAGCCTTGT